ATCATCATCAGCATCATCATCATCAGCATCAGCATCATCATCATCATCATCAGCATCAGCATCATCATCATCATCGTCATCATCATCACCACCATCATCACCACCACCAACATCATCATCATCATCATCATCATCGTCATCGTCATCGTCATCATCAGCATCATCATCATCATCACCACCATCATTATCATCATCATCACCATCATCATCCTCCTCCTCCTCCTCCTCCTCCTCATCATCATCATCATCATCATCATCATCATCATCATCATCATCATCATCATCATCATCATCCCACTCCCTGGAGGCTGGCAGAATCAGCGCAACCACCAGGACGATCAGGAAACACTGCGGACGGGGGAGGACAAGAGATGAATGAGCGACACGACACGAAGTCCATCGAAGGTGCGAGGATGCCACTCCAAGACGGCGCAGGGACTCGAGTCCTGCGGAGGACGCGGGAGGTTCACTGCACATGGTGGGAAGGGGGATTTCAACCTGGATTCCCCCGCGGACGACGTTCTTTCTCCTGGCTGCCTGTCGGGCCGCTGGCCGCCTCAGGCCTCGGCGCCGCCCTCCAGGGTGGCCCAGTTGTTCTGGCTGAACGTGGCCCACTGGACGTAGTCGGTGGGCTTAGCGTCCGTCTTTTTTTTTGTGCCCGATCTAGTGAAGCACCCGAGTTGGAGCCACACCACTAGTCGGGCATGTTCACGGTTGCCATGCAGGCTGCATGGGCTTGTCGGTCAATGGTTGTGATGATTGTCCTGAAGTCTTCATCCGCACTTCACACCAGTTCGTCTCATCGGTCATTCAGTCTACCAAGGGTCGTGACGTGGGGCCGTCCCGCATGGCGGTGTTGGTCCTTCCCCAATGCCGGGTCTGGCGTGCTGCTGGCGGGGTCGGTGTGGCTCAGGGAGTTGTGCTGTGGGGCAGTCCCGAAGGGTGTCGTGTCGGTCTGGTCGGTCTTTCCCTTTAGCAGTGCCTGGTCTGGCGTGCTGCTGGTGGAGCCGGTGGCCATGGGAGTGTGCCGTGGGGCAGTCCCGCTGGCGTCGTGTCGGTTCGGTCGGTCGGCTGGCCCATATGTGCCGCCGTGGGGCGGGCCTGCTGGGCGTCGTCTGCTGGTGTCGGCTCTCTCGTCCGCTAGGGTCTGCCATGTCGGCATGCCACTTGCGGGTCGTTCTGCCAAGGGGTGATGCCGTGGGGCACTCCGCATGGCGTCGGGCCTCGTCGGTGTTGGCCCTTTGTCGCCTACAGTGCCATGCCTGGCGTGCTGATGGCGGGATCATTGTGGCCTAGGGGTTGTGCCGTGGGGAAGTCCCGCAAAGCGTCGTGTGGTCATGTCGGTCTTGGGTTCGCGGCGTGTGGCCCAACCCACTCTGAGAGCTTATGGTGGGAAGGGGGAGGGGGGTGGCCAGGCAGGGCAAAGAGGAAGCGAGACGGGGAAACACGCGTGTGGGGGGATCTGAGGAGAAGCGGGGGGAAGAAAGAGGAAGGAATAGAAGAAGGACGAGGAAGATGAGGAGGAATAGGAAGAGGAATGAGGGAATGAGAAGATGATGGAGAAGTGTGCTCACCGGCCCATATCTGGTGCACGAGGCGGAGGCTGGCGCAATCTCTCTGCAGCGCTCATCTGCGAATCCCGCCTCAGCGCACAGCAATCTAACTGGCAGCATGCTGCGCTTAGCTAACAAGAACTGGGCAAAATATTGGAAGTCAGTTATCACGGCGCACAGCAATCTGACGAGCTCTTCCTCCTGCTCCTTCTGCTGCTCCTCCCCTCCAATGAGCGCGAGGGATACATCGGTTCCCTCACGTAAGACGAAAAATCCACCGATTCCCGCTTGCCCGGGATGGGAACGCGTGTGAGATGAATGGCTGTCTCCCTCCCCGTTAGCATTCCTGGAGTCCCAAAATGCCATTCACGGGAGAAGCGGGGTCCAACGAGCTCTTCGACGCATCTCCGGGGCCCTCATAGCCTCCGAATCCCTTCTCGGACGCCTCCCCAAAATGCCTTAGATAAACTTCAAAACTGCTCCAGACAAGGCCCAAAACGGCAAAGAGGCCCCAATAAGGTTCCGAGTGGCCACGGACACTCCAAAGGAAACCAGGCCGAAATCCGTTGAAACTTATCGCGTGCTCAATGAATTGTTGCCTTCTCGCCTGTGTGTTTCCGAGTGGCTTCTGAGGTATCAATGTGGCTCCGATGGCCCCGAAGAGCATCCCAAGAGCACCCCAAGAGAATCCCAAGAGGAACCCGAAGGCGATTTTTGCTTTGCCTCAGAGGCGAACTGTCGGGCCCCCCAAAACCCAAAGAAGGTCTTGAAGGCTCCCATTGGGCCCCACGAGACCTCAAAAATGACTCCACGAGGCCCTCAGAGGTTAGTAGGTTCCGTGCTAGTGGTATGTCTGCTTCACATTATTATTTTCTTCACTTCTCGCTACTGTTGGCCTGGGCATCGTTTCTGGATGAGCTGCTAGGGATACGGGAAATGTCAATAATTACATTCGCATCCACCTTTCGGGGACGGCAGGAGGTTGTAAGCCTCTTGAATACGCGTTCGTCCTCCCCCATCGTTCTCGTTCGTCCTCCCCCTCCTCTCTCCCCTCCCCCCGCATCTCCACTGCCCTCCCCATTCTGAATAAGAAACCATCCGCCTCTCAGATCTCTCCCAGGTCTCTGCCTGTCCTTCTCTTTTTGTTTTTCTTTCTTTCTCTCTCTCTCTCTCTTTTTTCTTTCTTTCTTTCTCTCTCTCTCTCTCTCTCTTTCTCCTCCACCTTCTCCTCCTCCTTCCCAGGAGCGGGCACACGGTGCGGCGGCCTGGACCGGCGGGCTGCGATACGACATCGTAGGCGAGGCTTGTCTGCGATCTGCCTGCGCCATCTCGGAGGTAATCTTCTGAGAGCAGCCGGCGGCCGCATCAGGCACGGACCGCCGGGAGGGCCAGAACCCGAACTTTCCCCGTTGACCCGCCGCACCGCATGCCAGACGTGTGTCCTCTTTCTCGGACTCGGGTTTGGAATGCTCGGGTTGGCCTGACGGGGCCGTCAGGAAAATGACGAGACCCAATCTGACATTTGACGCGACCTCCCGCTGCAAACATCCCACGAACACTGGACCGTTAAGACTCAGGGCGGGCCCGTCACAGAAGGGCCCGAACGCTGGATTTCGGCGAACTTGAGGCTCACGTGCTCCCGGCGTTCGCCCACCCTGCCTTCCGACCCTGTCGGCCGCAGCCTCGCAAGCGCCCGGCACGCAGGAGTTCGCCCCATCGGGCTTCCCGGGCGCCCCCGCGCGGCGGGCGCCGCGCACTACTTGCGCCGCTACGACTGCCGGCCGGCGGGAATGCCCTGCCCAGGGCGCCGCCCGCTCGTGCCCGCAAGTGTGGCCCCCAACGCAGTCAGGCAGCCCGCATACCCCATTCCGGGGAGCGGGGAGGAGGAGCCTGCTTAGAGGAAGGAAAGAACGGCACAAATAGTAAGTGTCGACGGCCCGCGCGGACCAGGCGGGACACACGCGGAACACCCCTGGCCACCGACAGACAACAGGGGGGGCGGGGGGCGGTCTTTTGGCCTGGCGGCGCCCTAGCCAGAGTAGGGTTAATCCGTCGCACCCGCCCACGCAGCTTCGTCTCGCCCGCACGCACGACACGAACACGAAACCGAAACCGATTTCCCGGTGGGGGGGATCTCCGTTTCACTGCGATCTCACCCTCTCATCTCCGATCTAGTTTGATATCACCCCCCTCTCAGGGGCGATACCCCTGGGGGAGGGAGGCAACGGCGGTACGGCTTCCATGCCATCATCAGAATCAACAGATCACCAGGCGGAGCTGCCGGAGGAGCCCTTAAGGGGGTGGTGTTGGGTTTCTCTGGAGGTCTTGGGCGGGGGGGTCTTCTGGAGGTTCACGAGCAGCAGCAGGACCGATCCCCCAACGTCCCTCGGAGACGGCACTGGGAGCTCGTCACCTCTCCCAGCCTCCCCACGACGACCTCAGTCATGAGGAAGTTACTCGGCAAGTCTCCCTTGGAGGTGGGGCCACGCGCCAGTCGCAACGCGCCCCTCGACTCCGCTGGGCCCCCTTGTGTTTCTCGCCTCGGAAGCGGGGCGGAGGAGCAAAAAAAATGAGGACTCGCTCCAAGGCAAGAAAGAATCCCCTTGGAGCCTCTCGAGGGCAGCCAGACTTGATGCCAGAGCGCACTCGCCCCTGCACAGCACCCGCTGTGCTCAACAACGCGAGGAGGTGGGCGTCGAAGCATCGCGACCCGGCGGCACCGCTGCCGAGGGGAGGCAAGGACGTTGCCGTCGCAACATCGGGACGCGGTGGCAGCGTCGCCGAGCTACCGAGAACTATGTACACCGCGTCCTGCGAATTCGGCGCCCCGCTGTGCGTGCCGTCAGGCACGCCGACACGCGCGCGGCGGGGCGGCGCGATCGCCGTCAGGGATCGCCCCCATATCCTGAGGAATAGGAATAGGAATAGACCCGACGATAGGAGGGGGACCTGCAGAGAAGGGGGAACATCGACCAGGCATCGGCGATACACCGCCGATCGGCGATAGGCGCCCGAGGGCGAATCCGCACGGCCATGGGCGGAGTGGGGCCACCGGGCCCCCCTCGGCGGAACATCGACGATTGGGGGTCGATGCGTCCCCCCGTGGGCCACGCGGGCCTATATCCCCGATTCCCCCCACCGTTGCTCGGGGCCCCCGCTCTCCTCAGTAGCTCCCCTCGCGGGGGCCCTCGTGCAGGTCGACGCGCAGGCCCCGGGAGCCGGGGTGCGCGGCGCAGTACTGCTCGTAGACGTCCTCGAGGTGCTCGCGCACGAGGCACACGACGATGCCGTAGGAGCGCTCGTCCGGCGCGCTCACGCACAGCATGAGCGGATCGCGGGACTCCTCCTGCTCGGGCCCCTCCTGGAAGCCCGAGCCCCGGCCCCGCAGGCGCAGCTTCGCGCCCGACGCCTCCGCGATGCGCTTCACGTGCTTCCCGTGCTCCCCGATCAGCCTGCGCACCACGCGGAAGCTCGGCTCCTCCTCGATGCCGATGGTGAACTGGCACTGGCGCTTGCCTGGAAAGACAGAAAGCTGCCAGCGCTGGCGTCAGCCCAGCATAGTAATGTGCGGCGTCCCCCCCCCCCCTCCCCTCCCCCCCCCCCCTGAAGCGACGCGCGCACCGAGAAATCTTCTAGTAAATGCATCGTGGCGGGCGCATTCTGGCAACACCGGTTGGGAAACGATGTACTACAAGATGGTTGTATGATATGTCCGGGTCGGACGCACGCCTCCCAGGAGCACATATAGTACAATCATGTCCTTGTGCGCCAGGGGCGGCGGCGCCGCCAGTGGGGCCCAACGTAAATCTCAGGAATGCGCGCGGGCCGCCGATAATGTTCTCCACGCGAAACACAAACGGGTGACACAACCACATCGCGAATCGATAGGGCGCCTGGCAAACCGGGAACACTGGACAAGCCGACCCGCAGTAGGCAAACTCGTACTGTTGACCGTGGCCTGAACAACCAGTCGGCAATGCAGTTGCGACAGGAAGGAAGAGGACGAAGGAAAAAGGAGGAGGGAGGAGAGGGGAGGAGGGGGAGGGAGGAGGCGGACCTCCGATTCCTGTTCCGATTGCCGCCTGCGGCTGCCGCGCCGTGGCGCCGCTGCTGCCGATGCCGCCGGGGGGCGTCCTTCCAGGAGTCCTCAGCGGCGCCCCAGGCGCCCCGGCTGTTCTCGGCGGCGCCCTGTGCCGAGGGGCCGGCGCGAGCGGGGGGGGGCCTCCTGTCCGCCGCCGCACGGTTGTTGAAGCCTTGGAGGCCCCAGTCGCCCGAGGTGTCCTCGGAACACGCCCCGGATCCCAAAGCAGTGCGGAAATCGGCAGCGCGCACAAGGAGGTAGTGGAAGGGGAGGGTTTCTCAGAAGGATGCCGCTCCTTAGAAGGCGCCGCCCTACATCTAAAGACAAGGCCCGCGCCTCCTAAGAGGCAGCCTCCGTCCGAGAAGGCTCCTCCCCTAACCCCTGCACGCGAATGTGATCGGAGAGGGCGCGCGAAAGGACACAATGACCCTTCCGAGGACGCGAGAGGACACGCGAGAGGGCACTTTTTTGGGTCGCGGCCGCAAGCGAAGAGCGCAGGCGGCGAGCAGGGTGTCCGGGCCGACGGGCAAGCCTAATTAGCTACAGGGCGCGATTAGCTACTGAGCGCAGCACGAGCCGGCCGGGCCAGCTCACAAACGCGGCAGCTGGGGCAGCGGCAGCGGGGGGCTGGCTGGCTGATCGAACTGGAGCGCCCTGGGAAGCTCAACCAACGTGCAACCCTGCGGCAAATTGCCGGGGAATTCTGTGTTACGCGCTGTGGCGGCCAGTCGTGGTAAACGATGGGCCGTCGCCAGTGGGGCGCCAAGTCCAAGCTGCGCCAACGGCGTGTGTTGCCAGCTGAGCTGCTCCGCCGAAAAAACGCCGAATACCAAGCTGGTGGTGGGGTGGGCCCGGAGGGCGGCCGAAACTGCGAATGCTGAACCACTCGGAGCTGGCTGTGCCTCCAGGGGCCGTGCGCGGCGTGAGGCCAAGCTGGTGGGGAAGAACATCGCCAGCAAGGTGGGGCGCCCAGGGTGGAGCTGCGCTGTCGCAGCCGCGTGGTGCACGCCGAAGGCCACCATGGGACGGCCTTATCCGCCGCGTCCGCCATTCCCCGCGGGGATCCAGGGTCACCGTCGAATCCACCATACCACGTGGGCTTCCAGGGTCGCAGCTAACCGCCGCTGAAGGTGAGGAAACGTTGCCACTGACAGCGGGGGTCCAGGGCAACCCTGGGGGGTGGGGACGAGAGCCTCCGAAACCAGCCGGCACGCCTGGCGGCAGCCCGGCCAGAAGGAGACCCGGAGGGTGGGGCGGTGGGGAGACGTCACCTGACGTCGGGCCTCACCTTCGCCTCCCACATCTCGCTCAGCAGCGCCAGCACCCGCTGCCACTGCTCGCCTTTCTCGCACGCGCTGATCCCAGCATTGTAGAGAAGATGACGTTGGGCTCAAGCTGCGCCTCCCACATCCCGTTCAGCAGCGCCAGGGCCCGCTACCACTGTTCGCCCTTCTCGCACCCGCTGATCCCACCGCTGTAGCTGATGGCGTTTAGCTGCAGCTTCACCTCCCGCATCTCGCTGAGCATCACCAGAGTCCGTTGCCACAGCTCGCCCTTCTCGAAAGCGCTCATGCCAGAGTTGTGTCTATCTCGTGCGAACACACAAAGCAACTGCTCAAGCGATGCGACAGGCTAACACGGCGAATATGAAATTTTGGCGACCGCCTATTGGCTCGATTCTCACATCTTGCTGAACAGTGCTAAAGCCCGCTGTCACTGCTCGCCCTCCTTGCCCTGGGCTCCGCAGGTGGAGATGCTGCCACTGATGTCGGCATATCTGGCCATACGCAAATCTCAACACCCAGTGACTCAAAGCAGTGACGTACCTCTTCATGTATATCTTCTGGTAAATCAAGGAAGAGCTTCGTCGGAACCGGTGGTGGGCGCTCTCGGATGGCCCAACTGATAAAGAACAGCGCACCCATAGCCTGCTTCATGTGGTCAGTAGAGACGCCCGGCTTCACTTCGCGAAAATCTATCCTGGTGAGGGTGCCGCTTTCGTCAACGTGAGACTTCACGACATCGGTGAAGAAGGTCAGGCCACCCACAGCGCCAACGCCCGCAGCATCCTCTACGTTGCCAGGGGATCGTTTGCGAATCCACTGCTGCGAGACAGCAACCTCAGCTGTGGTAACTACACTGCCACGTCGTACATGGTTGGTGCTATATGTACGCTTGCTTCCGTTACGACGCTTGAGAACGTGGACTCCTGTGGGGCACACACGATTGCGAGCATGTCCGATACACCTAGCTGGATCATCTGTGGTTCCAGCGCTCGCGTGTAATGTCAGATCAGCCTCTTCGGGTTTGACTTTGCCGTTCGAGCGTGTCTCAGTGATGACGCTCGATTCGAGCGTAGTCCCACGCATCTCATCCAGCTGTACCGAAGCCCGCTGCAACAGCTCGCCCTTCTCGCAAGCACTGGTCTCATCGCTGTCCCCGATGGTGTTGGGCCGTAACTTTGCATCCTCCATCTTGCTCAGCAGCGCCAGGGCCCGCTGCCACTCCTTGCCTTTCTCGCACACGCTGATCCCAGCACTACAGCTGATGACGTTGGGCTCCAGCTTCGCCTCCCGCATCTCGCTCAGCAGCGCCAGGGCCCGCTGCCACTGCTCGCCTTTCGCGCACGCGCTGATCCCAGCACTATAGCTGATGACGTTGGGCTCCAGCTTCGCCTCCCGCATCTCGCTCAGCAGCGCCAGGGCCCGCTGCCACTGCTCGCCCTTCGCGCACGCGCTGATCCCAGCATTATAGCTGATGACGTTGGGCTCCAGCTTCGCATCCCGCATCTCGCTCAGCAGCGCCAGGGCCCGCTGCCATTGCTCGCCCTTCGCGCACGCGCTGATCCCAGCACTATAGCTGATGACGTCTAGCTCCAGCTTCGCCTCCCACATCTCGCTCAGCAGCGCCAGGGCCCGCTGCCACTGCTCGCCCTTCGCGCACGCGCTGATCCCAGCATTATAGCTAATGACGTTGGACTCCAGCTTCGCCTCCCGCATCTCGCTCAGCAGCGCCAGGGCCCGCTGCCACTGCTCGCCCTTCTCGCACGCGCTGATCCCAGCACTATAGCTGATGACGTTGGGCTCCAGCTTCGCCTCCCACATCTCGCTCAGCAGCGCCAGGGCCCGCTGCCACTGCTTGCCCTTCCCGCACGCGCTGATCCCAGCATTATAGCTGACTAGGGCAGACCTGTGGACTCCGTCCACGACATCAGCTCGACGTGGCCAGTTGAAGGCGCTCTCCACACCCTCCAGGACCTCCTGCTCTCCTGTGTTCCTCAGCTGCTGCTGCTGCTCGGAGGTCCTGCTGCTTCCTCCCCCTCCTCCTCCTCCTTCTCCGCCTCCTCCTCCTCCTCCTCCTCTTCCACCTTCTTCTCCTCTTTCGCTGGATTCTCCATGCCCTCGGTCGGCAATCGTCGATCCTACGACGACTCTCCCCAACAGAGAAACATCGAAGGCCCTCGGAGCGTCCAACATTGTTCTTTTGTGCCTTCGATATGCCGGTCGCCTCTCGTCCGCTCCCCCCCTCCTGGAAGCAATTCTGAGGCCACGTAGGGCTTCGTGGGGGCCGTTTGGGGATCTCTTGGGGCGTTTTTGCCTGCGATATGCCTGTCGCCTCTCGTCCGCTCCCCCGCTCCTGGAGGGAATTCTGAAGCCACTGAAGGCTTCGTGGGGGCCGTTTCGGAGCCTCTTCGGCCTTGTTTTTGGCCTCCCGGGGGGGTCTCAGGGCCCTCTCGGGCCGTCTTGGGTGCCTCTTGGGCCGTCTTGGGGCCGTCTGAGGCCCGCCTCGGCGCCTCTTGGGCCGTCTTGGGGCTCTCTTGGGGTCCTCTTCGGCCGTCTTGGAGCGGTCGGGGGGACTTCTTGGGCCGTCTTGGAGCGTCGGGAAGCCGAAGAGGCGAGGAGGCCGAAAACATAGAAAAACACAATAAAAATCAACGATTTCTGTCGCTCGGAGCCCTCTTGGGAGGCCTCTTGGGAGGCCTCTTCGGGCGTCTTGGACGCCTCTTGGGCCGTCTGGGGCGACTCTCGGGCGTCTTGGGCCCGTCTTTAAGCGTGCCGGGGCTCTCCGGGGCCGTCTTGGGGGCTTCTGGGGGCCCTCTCGACATGTCCTGGAGCCTGCCTGGGCGGCCCGGGGCGGCCCGGGGCCAGCCCGGGGCGGTTTCGGTGCATTGGGGCCTGCGCCCTTCTGGCACGCACTGGGCCCTGCAATGTAGTAGAGATGACGTTGGACTCCAGCTTCGCCTCCCACATCTCGCTCAGCAGCGCCAGGGCCCGCTGCCACTGCTCGCCCTTCTCGCACGCGCTGATCCCAGCATTATAGCTGATGACGTTGGACTCCAGCTTCGCCTCCCACATCTCGCTCAGCAGCGCCAGGGCCCGCTGCCACTGCTCGCCCTTCGCGCACGCGCTGATCCCAGCACTATAGCTGATGACGTTGGGCTCCAGCTTCGCCTCCCGCATCTCGCTCAGCAGCGCCAGGGCCCGCTGCCACTGCTCGCCCTTCTCGCACGCGCTGATCCCAGCATTATAGCTGATGACGTTGGGCTCCAGCTTCGCCTCCCACATCTCGCTCAGCAGCGCCAGGGCCCGCTGCCACTGCTCGCCCTTCTCGCACGCGCTGATCCCAGCTATAGCTGATGACGTTGGGCTCCAGCTTCGCCTCCCGCATCTCGCTCAGCAGCGCCAGGGCCCGCTGCCACTGCTCGCCCTTCTCGCACGCGCTGATCCCAGCACTATAGCTGATGACGTTGGCTCCAGCTTCGCTCCCACATCTCGCTCAGCAGCGCCAGGCCCGCTGCCACTGCTCGCCCTTCGCGCACGCGCTGATCCCAGCACTATAGCTGATGACGTTGGGCTCCAGCTTCGCCTCCGCATCTCGCTCAGCAGCGCCAGGGCCCGCTGCCACTGCTCGCCCTTCTCGCACGCGCTGATCCCAGCATTATAGCTGATGACGTTGGGCTCCAGCTTCGCATCCCGCATCTCGCTCAGCAGCACCAGGGCCCGCTGCCATTGCTCGCCCTTCGCGCACGCGCTGATCCCAGCAGTATAGCTGATGACGTCTAGCTCCAGCTTCGCCTCCCACATCTCGCTCAGCAGCGCCATGGCCCGCTGCCACTGCTCGCCCTTCTCGCACGCGCTGATCCCAGCACTATAGCTGATGACGTTGGGCTCCAGCTTCGCCTCCCACATCTCGCTCAGCAGCGCCAGGGCCCGCTGCCACTGCTTGCCCTTCCCGCACGCGCTGATTCCGGCGCTGTAGCTGAAGACGTTGCAATACATCCTCTTTAAAACCATAACCCGTAGTACCGACAGAGCTTGCTGCCACTGCGTGGCTTTTCCGAATGCCCTGACAGATGCAATGTCCTGGCCTGGGCTTGCTTTTGCACGTGGTTCGGGCGATTCGATGGGCGGGTGCAACGGGTGCTTCGCCGCGATCCAATGCTCTGTCCAGACGCCTGTTGGAGGCCGCACGTTTTGGAGGTCGCCTCGAGATCCTCGGCGGATGTCTGTCATATTAGAATATATTGGGCAACGCTTTAAGACTGGCGTGGCCCCGACCAGAGTGCCTCCAACAAGATTTAAGGACCGCAAATGTACAAAGCAGGATGGTGAAACGATGAAACTCCGAATTGCCTTGAGCCCGAAGGGCTTGAGCCAGGCTACGGGCGCGAGAGGACATGCGAAGGACGCGCCTTCGAAGGGAGCAACCCTCTTCTAAGCTTATGAAAGGCAATGCCTGCTACAGCCACAGGTCCCCCAGAAAGGCCAAAGTACCTCCCAAAGTAGGTTTCGGAATAGGAATAGAAGTACCCACCGAGCCCAACAAGTACCTCCCAAAGTAGCCCCCAAAGTACCTTCAAAAAAACAAAAAGTAGCTCCCGACAGGTTGTTGGCATGCTACAAGTAGTCGAATGATTTTTCGGTCGTTCGTGCATCGGTCTTCATATTGTTCGCACATCATTTCTTATTGTTCGTTACACATGCCTTTACTTATTTCATGTTTCCAGCGACCCTTGAGGTTGCGTACTTCCCCCTCCAGGTTCCTAGGGCGCCAGAGAATATTGGGAACCGAATTTAGTTTTCAAGCCTGACAGGCCCCGCTGGGGCGGCGGATCGCACCGCATATGTGTCACGATGTATATTGCAGTTCGTAGTTCATGCCCCGCGTGTTGGCCACGTAGTTTACCCCACTTAGCTTGGGCACCGTCGGTTGCACCACATAGTTGCCTTTTGGATGATGTTCTCATCGTGCGATGCGCTATGGTTGCGCCTCAGAGCTACCGCCACGTAGATGGCCCCGCTTGCTCCACCACATAGCTTGCACCACATAGCTTGCACCACATAGCTTGCACCCCCCTCCCCCGCCCGTGCTCTCCAGCCATTTTGGCTTCCAGCCCCACCCCTTCGCCATGAGCGGGGGTGGGGTAGGGTGGGCCTCCGTGGCGGAGGCCGCGGCCGAGGCCGCCGATGGCGGCGCCTCGGGCTGGGCTGCCGCCGCCGCAGCCGCCGAGGCGGCCGCCGCCAGCCCGCCCGACGGCTGGGGCGCGCTGGCGGCCAGCGCCGCGGCGTCGGCGGAGAGCGCCGAGGGCGCCGAGGCGTTCTCCCACCACCTTCCCCCCTCCACTTCCCACCCTCCCCTCATCCTACTCCTTCAGGCGGAGGTTGCCGTGGCGGCTGCCGCCGACGGCGCTGGGTCCGCGGACGCGTTCGGCCACGCGCTGACGCCCGCGGACCTGGCGCCCGCTGGCAGCGTGGCTGCGCGGCGCAAGGCCCCTGGGGATGAATGAGAGGATGGATTGAGAGGAGGGGGAGGAGGAGAATGGGGATGCCGCCTTCACGGCTAGGGCGAGGAGGAGGATGGGGATGCAAGGTAGGATGAGGCGAGGAGGGATAGGAGGAGGAGGAGGAGGCGAGGGGAGGATAAGGTGAAGGGGGGAGAGGGAGGTGAGGGAAGGAGGAGGAGTGGAAGAGGCTGTAGCGGGGTTGCGGCGTCCGAGGCGGCGTGGCACCCGCTCGAGCATCTTCGGAAGCGGCTCCGAGATGCGTGGGGTCACCGCGTCGCTGCTGGTGGGCGTGAGCAGCCGCTGCCAGCCGCGGAGGCGGCGCTGGCTGCCGCCCGCGACGCGGTCGTCGACGAGGACGACTGGGCGCTCTTCGGGCCCAGCGACGCGGAGGAGCTGCTCGACGGGGACGCCGACGCCATCGCAGGCCCAGTCCCGCATGCCGACGCGGAGGTGGCCTTGGCAGCTGTGGCCCGCGCGCCAGTGCTGGCGCCGGCGCGGGCCCAGGCTCGAGTGGAGGAGCTCGCGCAGCTCGTGGAGCAGACGTGCGCGATCGCGGAGGCGAACTCGCGCACGGAGCGGGACTTCGTCGCAGCGGCGCAGCGTGGTGTGGTGCAGTACTTCCTGGATGAGAAGCGCACGACGCTGCCATTCCACCAGGAATGCAGCAACCTCGGCGTTGGCCGCCGCCGCGCTGATGGCATCCTGCGCGCTGTTGCCGCCGCGTGCGTGTCGGTGCAGAATCGGGACGTGTGCAGGATGATTCGCCAGTTGACGCGGTCCATCTTG